CCCCCGCCTCCCCCCCCCCCCCCCCCCCCCGCTCCTGCTAGCCAACAGATCTAGTTCTATAATGAGGGCCTGAGGGCATTCATCTGTCCTTTACAAAACTCTCAGTCAGCAGTTCTAGCAGTTACTGACCTTGACACCATTGTCACAGCACAGGCAAGTACATAAAGCAATCCCGTGAGAAGACTGCTCCTGGGGTATGCAAGGAGATGTGTGCATATCTTACCTGACCCATGAAGTCCGTGAAGAAGAGCATGTTGGAAAGGAAAGCTGTCCATCCGATGAGGTGACTGACGCACAGGCAGCGATAGTGGGAAGGCATGCTTACCAGTGCCTTCATGAGGCTTTTAACTGTCATCCGTGTCTGAACCTGGAAGAAAGCAATTAACAACAGCTTACAGTGTTGCTGCCTTGAAAACTAACAAAACAGCTGGCAGTGGGTTGGCAAGCCTCAGCCTCTTTCAAGTTCAGGGCCCTTTCTGTTTGTTTCATTAAGAAAGGTCACTGTAATGTTGACATTCCCTTTGTTAGGTTCAGTAAGAAGTTACTTGCCTTGTGCAGTAATGATGGTTCTTCAAGATGTATCCCCCTCGTGGGTGCTCCGCTCTGGGTGTTGGTGCGACCTCACTCCGGTGATCAGAGCTGTTTCCTAGCAGAGCTTGGCCGTGCTGCATATGCGCAGTAGCCATCTCATGGTGCACTGGTGCCTGTTTCTCACACACAGCATGGCCCCCTCCATTCCTTCTTTACCATGGAATTCAGTAGATGGTTTCCAAACTAGAGGGGAGGAGTGTGGGCAGTGGAGCACCCACACAGGAGGACACAGCGTGAAGAACCATCATTACTGCACAGGTGAGTAACTTCTTCTTTGATCTGAAGAAGTGCCCATGATAGCTCATGATACCATCTATACGTATTGTTAGTCTTTAAAGTGCTACCAGACCATTTGTTGTTTTTCAGTTTTTCTTATTTTATGAGTGCTGTCCTTGTGGGTGCTCCACTCTAGGTGTCTGTACAGTAGGTATGTTAAATTGTGGGTAATTGACTAATCGAATAGTCAGTGCATTTTGTTTCGACTATTCAACAGGGCATTTCTGCCTTTGAAGTATAGGAACAGCCCCAGGGCTCCCATTGCCCCCGAGCTCCATGCTGCACTGCCACTTTGAAATGCCACCATGAGAGCCAAGAGTCAGGCTCCTCGCGGTGTTTCAAAGAGGCAGTGCCACATGGAGACCAGGGTCAGCAGGGGAGTCCCCAGCTGACCCTGGGTTCCATGCGGCACTGCCACTTTGACAGGCTGAAAGGAGCCTGACACTGGCCCCAGGCTCCACGCGGTGCTGCTGCTGCTGCTTTGAAGTACCCTCTCCCCTCCCCCCCCTTCTGCCTTTTTCCGATAGTGGCAGCAAAGTTGGCGGGGAGAGGGAGTGACTAGTCAACAAGCTTGTCAACTACCTGACAAGTATCCTCCACAGAGCCAGGGGGCTTTGCAGTCATGACCTGGAAGTAGGTGAGAAGACAGCAAGACCAACGACATGCATTCACTGTGGGCATCAGAGGCTGGCATAGGCTCCCGGCATCTTCCACATATCTTATCGTTAGGCAGGACTGGTGTGTCTCCCCAAGGCTAAGTATACCACCCAAGTTGTGTAAACCAAGCTGCCTTCTTGGGTTATTAGTTCGTTTATTCATTAGGGGTTTGTTTTTGTTTTGTTTCAGTTTGACTCCCTTGCTGTGGCTTGTCCCTGGCAGTGAGAGCTGCTAGCAGCTTTTTTGTTTGTTTTTGTTTGAATAAAGAGAGGAGTCTATCTAAAGTACTTAATAGTTTCTCTTTGACTATCTATAGTACTCAATTGATTGTCAATTGCTTCTCTTTGATATGCAGAGCATTCTGAGGAAGAGAGGGTTGAGCTCCATCCATAGCCCAAGGTGGTGAAGAAGGAACTGAGGGAAAAGTGGGCTGCGCTCCACTCGCACATGCGCAGCCCACCTGATGACTCCCTGAAAGTCTCCGATCTGTGGCGCAGGGACGAGCCCGACACCAATAGTGGAGAACCCACGGTAACATCACTGGAAGAAGAATTATGTGTTGGTACCGAGGTATGGGCTGTTGCCATACATAGATGTGACATGTCCAAGAGCATTGGCTTCTGTGATGGATTGCATGTCAGCATTGGTGATGTCATGGAGGGGACTTTGTGCGTCAGCTCCAATTTGGCACATTTGGGGGCCATCAACATCCATGCTGCGGCAGTGGCGGATGTGCCTGTGCTTCAGCAGTGCCAACTCTTGAGCTTGGCTCTGAGGGAAGGGATCTCGCCATGGAAACTCTCATCTTGTGAGTGTCCCAGTTAGGCAATGAAGAGGCTTGCTTCCTGGAAGTTTGAGCCTTGTCTCTGCTGGAGGATTTCTGAGAGCTTGTACAGGGGTTGTCTTCAGCGGGCTATAATGACTTCTCAATGAGTATCATTTTAAAGCGAAGCTTTCTGTCCTACCTAGCTCTCACATTGAGAGTGTTGCAGTGCAAACTTATCTGGGGAATACGGTCTTCCCCCAGGCACTGGACACAAAAAGATTGTCCATCAACAAGTTTCACTTTTCTTGAACCTGGGGGAGTCAGACATGATGACCATTGTTAAACAGAGACATAACCCTGGAAGGGAAGGAGGGTTCGGATGGGAAAGTAGGAATAAAATAAAATAAAAAATAAAATAAAATAAATAATAAAGAAGATTTTTTTTAAATAAGGAAGGTAGGGTTACAGTTTGTTGAGGAAGTAAATTGTTTTAAAGTTGTTTTTCTTTGGTTTTCAGGGTGAAGGAGTCAGCACAGCACTCCACCTGCTGCCGAGGACAATAGAGACGGAACTGAAGGAGCCACGCCACGCATGTAAGAAATAGGTGCCAACAACACTACAAGACAATGAATGCACATGCGCAGTATGGCCAAGCATTGCTAGAAAAAAATCTCTGTAGGATTTACTAAACAGCACTAGGTTAGGTAATTAGGTTTTTTCATATGAATGGGTGGGCTGAGTGGCAAGCAAATGGGAGATCTTTGGGAGGAGATATCTTCTCCTCTTCCCCATCTTTTGCAGAAAGGTTAGCAACACTGAATAACACTGTAAAGCACACACACAGAAAACCCCACAGTGACTGCAGTGCAGTTTATGTGAAAGGCGATGAAGTGAAACACTAAACAAATGGCACGGTGTTATCTAGAAAAGATCTCTGGGCAGTTCATGCAAAGTAAAGGGGACAGGTACCATAGAGTCCAATCATAGGCACCTAAAATGTGACCTTTTTTTGAAAGCACCAAGCACCCAGAAGCACTGAATGAAATCAATTTGAAACCAAGGGGATTAATAATGGGGATGAGTGCTGTTCAGTATGGGTAAGGGTGACAGAATCACGCCCTAAACAATCTGGCAACAAGTTAAGAGGACAAACATTCGGTCCAGATGTCTATTCATCTGATAGTAGCTCTATCAAAATAAAGAAAAATGAGTTTAGTCAAAAGATTTGTACTACATTTGAAAGTCTACAATTGATTTTAAGGTATCTAATCCTGGAATAACACACCGGCATTAATTAGATTAGCTAAATTCACTGGTAGCCCTTATAAAGCACAATCATTGCTTTTTGCAAAAGATGTCAGCTGAACCATTCCTCTTATAGCAAAAGCAATTTGCAAGTGCTTTTTAGTTCATATAGTATTTCTGATTTTGTAAATGAAGATGTTATTTTTAGTGTCATTCAAGGGTCGGGTTGAACTCATAGCTGTAGAAGCTTTCAGCAATATCAATTTATATTTGACACAGTACAGAAATCAATTTAAGAGGGAACTGCAAACTAATCCAATCCTTTCTCCTTTAAAGGCAGACCAGCCTGGATCCAAATTGATAGCTCTTGCCAAGACAATAAGCATGCAAGAGCATAGTTCTTCAGCTAGAACAAATATAATTCTGAGTCGGTGCTTGTTTGGAAATAAAATATAAAAAGGATAGAGAATAATAGGAACCTAAGTGGTTTAGCAATGAACATGGAAAACATTCAGAAGATATGGCATGAAACAGACTATGGCATGTGTCACTAGGAAGTCACTGGAGCGATGCACACATTTATGGCAAGGTGAGGGTGTTTCAGTCATGCACATAAAAAGAAACATTAGATGCATAAGAATACTATATCAGGATATCCGGTGGAAGAAGAGAAGATGACACAGAGACCAAAACCCTCGATATGAGTGTCTGGGGGTGCGTCTATACAGCACCCTTCTGTCAGAATAAGCTATGCAAATTGTGTAGCTTATTCCAAGTCTAGGTTGAAAGAGCTTATTTTGAAATTTGGTGCTGTGTAGACAGTGCCAAATTTCAAAATAAGGCACTATTCCAACAAATCCCTTAACCCCCATGGAACGAGGGTTACAGGGATGCCAGAATAGTACATCTGCTATTTCGGGGAATAGCGGGCACATTTAAAGATGCAGTGTTGCTATTTTGGGATACTTCTGGTATCCTGAAATAGCAATACAGTCTAGACATATCCTAAGTCTCTGGCAAGTTACTCAACCAAACGATGAGAGAGGAAGAGAACGGAACAGCAAGAACAGAGATTGGATTTTCTGACATATCATGTATTATTGATTCACTGGTATTAGCTTGTGCAGTGAGAGGCTAGTTGTATGTATCAGTTTTTATGTGACCTGTTTTCTCTATAAATCTCCCTTTCTTAGAACTTCTTGGATATTCAACACCTCAGACAATCGGAGGAACAGCATTCGTGGTAAGCAGTGAAGATATAAGTTGCTGGCTGCTATAGCCTCATGGAAGGGAAAGCAGAGAAACATTGTAATATACAAGTTCCATTAATTCTGACAAATTGCTTATTTGTTCAGAAACTTCAGGGGGTAGCCGAGTTAGTCTGCACAGAAAAAACAACAAATGGTCTGCTAGCACTTTATAGACTAACAAAATGATTCCCTCTAGCTCCCTGTCTCTCTTCCCCCCCCCTCCTATTTATTTTGGGTCTGCACATCCTAAACTCAAAAATCCGGTCATCTGAAGAAGTGGGCTGTGCCCACAAAAACTCATGATACCACCTACATGTTTTGTTAGTCTATAAAGTGCTATCAGACCATTTGTTGCTTATTTGTTGTTTGTGTCTTTCTCTTTATCTTCCCTTTAAGTAGTGCCCATAATCCATTCTTTTTTCAGCATAGTACCTAGCACAGAGAGGCCACCAGGTGTTAATGGAATGCAAACAAACAATAACACACCTAAAATCAGCTCACTTTCATTTAGGAACCTAAATGACAATTTAGGTGCCTAATTTTAAGCACCCAAATCTGATTATTTTGGCTACAGAATTTATCTAGTTTCCAAAGATTTAAATCAGAGACACTTACACATAATGGAAGGAAAATAAGCAGATCACTAGTTCCTTACTTATGGCTAAGGAACTTAACACATATATTAGCATTTAATCTTCCTAGGATACTACAACAGTATAAGAAGGATTCTGAACACTTCTAGCCAACATAACAGCAAAAAACAAAACACTACCTATTCCATCTGGCTAGCCTTATGCCAGAGATACCTTGTTGCCATATTTTTCAGAAAGAATTATCTCAGTGATTTTTTCACATTGCCTAGGCTTGAAAAAATGTCTAAGTGGAATGTACAAAATACACATGCCAATTTACAACTCTTCAGTACCCACTCTGCCCATCCCCCAGGACCACTGGAGAGACTATATTTGCAAAGCCCCTAAGTAACAAAATGCAGCATCCAGCTGCTTACTACTCACTTCACGGTCGGTGTATCTAAGAGAGAAGCAATTAAAACTAAATCAGCAATGCCAGGATTTACTTTTCCGAGACCTGAATGCCATAATCAGCACATTAATTAAAGCAGCGAGTATTGAGGTATTTTGCTTCTGAAGCTTACATGTGCATGTATCATTGACTTCAACAGGAGCTGTTCACATGTATTGCAGGGCAGTTGGGTTTCTAGTTCTTTCTATGTAATATGGTGTTAAAGTTCATAACCTCATTTGGGGAGCTATTGGGAACCAGTGGCTAAGAAAGTTTGCTGAGTTTATTCAGTGAGTTCATGGAAGAGTCTAGATTAGAAACCCCAGATTTCCTGATCCTCCGTTGCCTTCTCTAAGCGCTAGACAATACTGCCTGTCTTGTAGTCGATCGGACTGATGACAAACTGAGGAAAAGTAACTATCCCTAGAAAAATGTCACTGCTTCCATGTTACTTTTCCAGAGGACTTGAGGGTTTAGTTGATCCCACACTTGCCATTGCATCATAGGTTCCAGGCTTATTATATGGCTGTGACCTTCCCCAAATGGAATGTTATAGACTACAGAACAATAACTGTAATTACCTGCGTATGTGGTGTTTCTAAGGATTTCCCCAACTCAGATAAAGTCTTTTTTTCATCATATCCTGGATTTAAATAACCATTCTTGACTCCGTCTATGGAACCATACTTGCAGGGCTCATCCATTTTCAGCAAGTGCTTAGTTTCTGTATTGTCATCTCTGAGAGGGGCTTCAGGAATGCTGCACAAGTGTACAGTAAGACAGATTAGGAAAACCAAAGCCGCAATGACGAACATCACCTGGAATTCCGATCCCAAAAATCTTCCTAGTACAGAATGCCCCCAGTCCATAGCACCTGTTAGGTAACCCAGGGCACCACCCAGACCTGGAGAGAAAAAGAAAGAAAACTCCACTGGCATTTATTAAAAACAAAACAAACAAAAAACAATCCTCAATAAGTTGCTGAAGAATTATTATGAAGATGTAACAGTGTCTATGGGGGAATTCCCATCATAAAAAGAAATAGAATCCCTGTGTCTGGGTGTATAAACCCTTCATGGAATAGCAAAGGATTCAAGAGAAATTCTGGGCTCAGGAAGCCCCATCTGTGCAGAGTGGCTTTAAAGGGGAGCTGGCCAGCTCAACTGGGGGTGGACAGGGTAGGGGAAGGACAACAGCAGTGCAGGCTCCCTCACGCCTCACTCAGTGCTCTTCAAGCCTGATTTCAAGGGGCTGAGATGGGAGTCCATTCCCTATGATTCACTCATCCCTGGCTTCTAGACTGAAAATGCCATGATCTGAATTTAATCTGTTTCTACCACAATCCATCCATTGGCTTCATCACATTCCTAACTGGTGAGCTGCAAGGATGATTTTTTAATAATCAGTTGAGGATCCAGCAGCAGCTTCCTTCCACTGCACTTTGCTACCACACAGGAAGTCACATTACAAAGCCACCAACAGGGAAAAGAGACCATCCATTAAAATAAAAGCTGCTATTGGCAACTGCTTTTGCATGCCCTGTGGCACACAAGCACTTAGATCTGACAGTGGGTTTAGTTTCCCTTTCAGTTTTTGATTTTTATTGAAATAAATAAGACTTAATTGGGCCAGCAGCAGGGTTTGAAACCAAGACCTTCAGAGATAAAAGCAAGAACTGCCTCTTCTGGGGCTAGTGTGGTATAACTAATCAGCATGGAACATTAAGTGAAATCCTGGCCCTGCTGAAGTCAGTGGAAGTTTTGTCACTGGCCTCAGTAAGGCCAGAATTTCACTTACTGTGTAGGAGTAACAAGAAATTAACTGATAAGCACTGGAGGTGCCAGGTTCAAACCCATAAGCAGATACATTACATTTTCATGTCTCTAAGGACCTTCCTTCTGGCAATTTCAATGCATTCGGAAACATCAGTGAATTTAGCCTCAACCCCTTATTAAGTTTGAGAAATTGAGGCATAGGCATTTAACCCAGGAATGTATGACAGAGCCCCAGTTCTATTCTCTAATCTCTAATTCACCCTTCTTTCAAGGCTGTAAAAATCAAGCCTTCTACTGCTAATGGATTTAAAGTTCTTGCATTTCTTGTCTTCAGTTATTCTCAGGATGGGGTCCTGAGATGCTACTATTCCCTTTTCACAGATATGAATGTCTTTGATTGCTAAATGCACTACATGATTTTAATGCAGTGCTTCCCGCTTTAAAAACAAATCTCTTTCTAATATGTCTGGTCTGAATCCTTCATCAGTATCCAGTCAGATACTCCTGTGTCCAGATAAGAGTCCTACTGAAGTTATTGGGATTCCACCCAGATTGAAGCAGATCTCAATGCAGGCTTAGGGCATTCATCTCTATTTGTACCCTTTCTTGAATGGATTCAGCCCTAGTACCAAGCACATAACAAGGTGTCTAGATACAGTAACAACAGAGAAGAAAATGCTGGGCCACAGATTATTCATACTCGTCTTTGCCTTATATAACAGGAGAGCAGAAAATTCTCTCATTCCAAACCCACAGAAACATATGGAACAGCAGAAATGTTTGATATTCTCTGATACCTGTTTTGCTTCAGTTGGTTCAGTTGGCAATTCCGTGCACACTATTAGGCACATTGTATTTCCTTTATTAAGAACAATCATCTTGATTTAACTAATTTTTCACCTACTCTTGGATGGGTGAAGGGAGGCTATATTCAGACCTGTGATAGATCTTATTCCGTAATATCTCAGCCTAATCATCACTGAGGAATTTGAAATCTGTCTGGCTCTAATATCAAAGCTGTCTCCTTCAGATCTCATTCCTGTGAATAATTCTTACTAACATGAGTAAGCCCATTGACTTCCTTAGCCTGCTTCTGTAACAAGGACTGTCTGTATAAGTAAAGGGTGGTGACACTGAGCTCTGTAATATATTAACTAAACTGAACCAGTGAGATAAAAAAACACCAAGAAGTACCAATTCACTAACTGTTATATTTCTATGTGAGAGAGACTGTCATATATGGGTTTTCTCCTGATCTGCTTCAGCCAGAAAAAATAATCTAGAGATTTCACCAAAACGAGCAGGCAAGCAAAGAAATAGTGTAAAACGACAAAACAAACATTTAAATTCCTGTACTGTTACGTCAGAGTGTAGTCCTTTGCTGAGTAGTATGATGATGGGCATCGGAGTATATTTTCTTCAGTGGCTACTAAAATCCCAAGTAGAATTTTCTTTTCCTTTAATTTTTTATTGGACAATTCCAACCAAAAGTTCATTTTTCCCTGAGAAAATGCCTACCAATGAGTTAATATTCGTAATATCCTCAGAATGTGAAAAGCATCACAGAATATAGCTATTTGATTTATATTTCTGTTGCCTACATTTTGGATGTTTATAAATTAAGCTTTCACAAAATCAATAGCAATACTGCCTGGATTTTAAAGAAATCCACAGAAAACTGTGGTTTTTAAACAAGTAACCATTCTTTTGCAGTCCTCACAATCCAGACATATTCACACTGAGTGCGTCTACATAGCACCCTTAGCTATGAGGAGAAAAAGGATAAAGGTAAATAAATAGCGTAAGCAGTGCAATTTTTAAAATTATCTTATTTTTTAGTAGTGATTGGTGTCATCAGTAGCACACATAACAGGTATTTAGTTAACACAATACAAGGTCCAGATTCTGCAAGCTGATCTATGCAGGCAGGCCTACTATATCTACATGCACCCTGTTCACTTCAGTGGGGCTCTGCTACGATGCTCCACATAACAAAACAAACTCCAGGATCAGGGCCTATACCTGCCCTCCTGCCTAGGAGAACTGAAAAGGAGTAAGGCAATACCATCACCTCCAACAAAAAGTTACTGAACCCACAGGATGTGCATTTGCCTTACCCCATAACCACGTGATCTTACAGTCAATCCTTGTCCTTCCTGGCCTTCCCTTGACTGATTATGATCCTTATTCATTGTTTTATGTTGAATATATATTGTGTGCCTAAAATATTTCTGAACATGTGAATCACTGTGGATGATAATAATAATAATTAAACTGAGAATGGGTTTTTTTTTTTAGTAAAATAGTTTTCCCTTTTGTGCAGCATTGAATAAGATTAATATTTGGAGCCTATTGCGTCACAGATTAGCTTCATTAACAATTGTGAATTGCAGCTGCACAATTTAGCATTTGGCAATTAGGCCTTTGCTGTGTCATCATATGAAAAAACAACCTAAAAGGAGAAGGGATGCATTTAGTGTACATGCTCTATTGACTTGCATCTTCATTTGTACATAACTAACATTAGTGCTCTTCTCAAATAGTTTCTACCTAGGTATCCTTAATGGATTAAATTGACTTAATTTTTAAAGAGTCTGAGTAATCAGGCTCTCAGAATAAAATCAAGGTGGGCTGGAAATTCACCCACCTAGAGACCAGTGCTCCAAACATAGGATCTTTGCCTCTATTCCATTTTTTGGTATTGAACAACAATCACAGATTGCAAAGACCATCTGGTTGGCTCCTATTATTAGCTCTTCCACATTAATCTATCCAGGAGACCCTTTAGTGCAGGAAACTTTCTGTGATCCTCTGTGTATCCTCAAAATGGGGCTTAATAGGTACAGGCTGCCCCCGACTTGTGATGCGATCGGCTCCAGGGATAACGTTGCAAGACGTGGGCGTCGTAACTCGAGCCCGCATTTGATGACAGGCGTCGTATGCCGTCGTAAATACGGGGCTGAGGACGTAAGTCGGGGGATTTCAGCTCCTTCTGCCCTTACAGAAAAGGTCATAAGTGCGGGGGATCATAAATTGGGCTGTCGTAAATCGGGGGCCTCCTGTACAGAGAGCCTTGCCTTAGTCTTCTGCAGCATGAGTGAACTTCACACAGTATACACAAATGTAACAAATGAAACTAAAACACTGCACTCAAACACTCCCAAAGTCTGTATAAATTTGGATTTGGTCTGAAAAAGTATGGCTCTATTAACTTCACATCAGCCTGGACATCTATAAGAGATATAAAATCATGTTAAATAGGTTAACCAGTTAAACATATTATTTAACTGGTTAACTGATTAAAGGAAGGACAAGCAGGGGCTGCACCGGGTGGCCTGTGGGGCACTCAGGCCTGCCATGGACTGCCACAGGGCTGGAACAGCTGTTAAGGGTGAGGCTTACCGATCAACCAGTTAACCATTATTAACCAGTTAAACACTGACATCCCTAAATAACAAGCCAGCCCCAACTTACATCTGCACAATACTCAAGTTTGGGTCCAATTGAGGCCATATAGGCAGTTCTACTTAATAAAGGAGAGCTATTCCTTTCAATAGCTGTTCCTTACTTTTATCTTCTTCTAACTGTGAATCCAGATGATTTTCACTAACTTTTGCCATTAGTTGAGTGGGAATCAAAATAGGCTGCTAACTCTTTTACTAAGTGGGGAAGGGAGACTGTTGGGTAATTCTCTGTAGCCTTAGGTAGGAATTTTTGCAAATGTCACTTTTCAGTCTGTGCCTGGAGCTTTCTTCAGCAGAATCCCTGCTTCTGTAGTCACAAGCTGACCTTTTCCCAGAATAAAAGCCCAGCAACAAAACACTCGTGACTGAGGCATAGGATCAGATGATCAGTTCATTCAAGAAGATTAGAAGTGCAGTGAGAGGAAAAAACCCAACTGCTCATTTCCTGCCTCCACAGACAGCGAGAAAATGGCCTGCATACCTGTGAGGAGAGCATGGTAATGAAGACCTTTTTCTTTATCCTGATGAGAGCAAACGTCAAATAGATATGCTTTGATGGGACCATCAATAAAGTCAGCTGCAAAGTCAAAGAGCACTACTCCCAGCATAGTTATGACTATAGCCCAGGTCTGCTGCTTGCCTCGCTCAGGGATCAAAGCTGCAAAAAGAAAAAAACAAATTTACTCTTACAACTCCTGCTTTGCACTCGTTTATAGACTAAACGCAACTGAGCGCTGACCCTAACGGTGATATTTCACTTCTCCCTCAGTGTTTGCAAACAAAGTCTTCATATCATATGGACACACACATCCCACTTTACCCAGCTGAAGGGAAAGCTAACAGTGCAGCAGACATTCATTTAAAGAAATTTACTCTTCTCCTGAGTAACCTATTATACCAGCAAAGAGACCTTTCCACTTGGACTGCTTCAATAACACAGCCTGGGCTGCAACATAATAGCCTCTAGCATGTTATTCTTAGGGTGTTTTAGTCAAGATTTCCAATGCAAAATAATTCCCAGAGAGTTGTTCACTAGCACTACAGGTCCCTGAATTAAATGCATGAATAATTACATTATTTGCTGTGAACATGAACACAGGTTTAGTCATTTTGGAGCAGGAGGATGGGGAAGGGCAAAACTTACTCAATTTGCAGATGTCAGATTTGACCCATACCAATAAAATCTGCTATCAAATTGAACAAGTCATATGTTAGCTCTTTAAAGCTGTCAGGCCTGGACATTACTGAGATGCATTTTGAGGCAACCAACATAAAACAAACTGTACATGCATGCAGAGTGCAGAACACTCTGGCAAAAAACAGGCAGCTAAGATGAAACCTGGAAAGGTTCATATTGTTCCCTCAAGCTCTTCCAGTGAGACCTACTAATGTGATGCCCGTTCTCACCTTATTTACAGACCAAAACAAAAAACCCCACCAACCCTATTTTCTTTCTAATTCAAGAAACAGGATGAGCTTTGTCTATTAGCTCAGCACGTGCAGCTCACTCACCTGAGACCATCATGTCTCCATTGAGGTACAGGGCCATGCCCAGCAGCATCATGATGCCCAGAGCCAGGATGTAAGGGCGGCGCTTGCCCCAGCCCGAGGTACAGTGGTCACTGGCGGATCCCACCACTGGCTGCAGCACAAAGCCCAGGATGGGGCTGATGAGCCACACCAAGCTGTAGAGGCTCTTGGGCAGCCCCACACTGAGCAGTACCGGGGTGACAAAGGCAGCCTCCACTGCATAGCAGAATTCTCGACCAAGCATGGCCATACTGTGCATAATCAGCCTTCCAGTGGGCTTTTTTTCAGGCTCCACTGATCCAAAGGGGTCTCCTCCTGCAAAAGATTCCAACATTGCCTTTTCTTTCCCTCTGCTGTGGTCTGTGCCAGCAGTGCCCAGCTCAGAGGGTGGCAGAAGTCCCCCACTGAAATCCTGTTTCGTTAAAGTCATTGGATTAGCTATGCCTGAAGTTCCTGTAAGTGGCTCAGAGGAAGTTTGTTCTGACTCTGGATGAAAGGGAGCCTGGCTCACATGCACAGAGGGAAAGGTCTAGGGTGGAGGAGGGGCTCACTTACTTTCCTGCCTTTGAGATCACAAGTTAAGAAGAGGAGGGGAGAAGTGTATGTGCAGACCACAGAAACATATGGAACAGCAGAAATGTTTGATATTCTCTGATACCTGTTTTGCTTCAGTTGGTTCAGTTGGCAATTCCGTGCACACTATTAGGCACATTGTATTTCCTTTATTAAGAACAATCATCTTGATTTAACTAATTTTTCACCTACTCTTGGATGGGTGAAGGGAGGCTATATTCAGACCTGTGATAGATCTTATTCCGTAATATCTCAGCCTAATCATCACTGAGGAATTTGAAATCTGTCTGGCTCTAATATCAAAGCTGTCTCCTTCAGATCTCATTCCTGTGAATAATTCTTACTAACATGAGTAAGCCCATTGACTTCCTTAGCCTGCTTCTGTAACAAGGACTGTCTGTATAAGTAAAGGGTGGTGACACTGAGCTCTGTAATATATTAACTAAACTGAACCAGTGAGATAAAAAAACACCAAGAAGTACCAATTCACTAACTGTTATATTTCTATGTGAGAGAGACTGTCATATATGGGTTTTCTCCTGATCTGCTTCAGCCAGAAAAAATAATCTAGAGATTTCACCAAAACGAGCAGGCAAGCAAAGAAATAGTGTAAAACGACAAAACAAACATTTAAATTCCTGTACTGTTACGTCAGAGTGTAGTCCTTTGCTGAGTAGTATGATGATGGGCATCGGAGTATATTTTCTTCAGTGGCTACTAAAATCCCAAGTAGAATTTTCTTTTCCTTTAATTTTTTATTGGACAATTCCAACCAAAAGTTCATTTTTCCCTGAGAAAATGCCTACCAATGAGTTAATATTCGTAATATCCTCAGAATGTGAAAAGCATCACAGAATATAGCTATTTGATTTATATTTCTGTTGCCTACATTTTGGATGTTTATAAATTAAGCTTTCACAAAATCAATAGCAATACTGCCTGGATTTTAAAGAAATCCACAGAAAACTGTGGTTTTTAAACAAGTAACCATTCTTTTGCAGTCCTCACAATCCAGACATATTCACACTGAGTGCGTCTACATAGCACCCTTAGCTATGAGGAGAAAAAGGATAAAGGTAAATAAATAGCGTAAGCAGTGCAATTTTTAAAATTATCTTATTTTTTAGTAGTGATTGGTGTCATCAGTAGCACACATAACAGGTATTTAGTTAACACAATACAAGGTCCAGATTCTGCAAGCTGATCTATGCAGGCAGGCCTACTATATCTACATGCACCCTGTTCACTTCAGTGGGGCTCTGCTACGATGCTCCACATAACAAAACAAACTCCAGGATCAGGGCCTATACCTGCCCTCCTGCCTAGGAGAACTGAAAAGGAGTAAGGCAATACCATCACCTCCAACAAAAAGTTACTGAACCCACAGGATGTGCATTTGCCTTACCCCATAACCACGTGATCTTACAGTCAATCCTTGTCCTTCCTGGCCTTCCCTTGACTGATTATGATCCTTATTCATTGTTTTATGTTGAATATATATTGTGTGCCTAAAATATTTCTGAACATGTGAATCACTGTGGATGATAATAATAATAATTAAACTGAGAATGGGTTTTTTTTTTTAGTAAAATAGTTTTCCCTTTTGTGCAGCATTGAATAAGATTAATATTTGGAGCCTATTGCGTCACAGATTAGCTTCATTAACAATTGTGAATTGCAGCTGCACAATTTAGCATTTGGCAATTAGGCCTTTGCTGTGTCATCATATGAAAAAACAACCTAAAAGGAGAAGGGATGCATTTAGTGTACATGCTCTATTGACTTGCATCTTCATTTGTACATAACTAACATTAGTGCTCTTCTCAAATAGTTTCTACCTAGGTATCCTTAATGGATTAAATTGACTTAATTTTTAAAGAGTCTGAGTAATCAGGCTCTCAGAATAAAATCAAGGTGGGCTGGAAATTCACCCACCTAGAGACCAGTGCTCCAAACATAGGATCTTTGCCTCTATTCCATTTTTTGGTATTGAACAACAATCACAGATTGCAAAGACCATCTGGTTGGCTCCTATTATTAGCTCTTCCACATTAATCTATCCAGGAGACCCTTTAGTGCAGGAAACTTTCTGTGATCCTCTGTGTATCCTCAAAATGGGGCTTAATAGGTACAGGCTGCCCCCGACTTGTGATGCGATCGGCTCCAGGGATAACGTTGCAAGACGTGGGCGTCGTAACTCGAGCCCGCATTTGATGACAGGCGTCGTATGCCGTCGTAAATACGGGGCTGAGGACGTAAGTCGGGGGATTTCAGCTCCTTCTGCCCTTACAGAAAAGGTCATAAGTGCGGGGGATCATAAATTGGGCTGTCGTAAATCGGGGGCCTCCTGTACAGAGAGCCTTGCCTTAGTCTTCTGCAGCATGAGTGAACTTCACACAGTATACACAAATGTAACAAATGAAACTAAAACACTGCACTCAAACACTCCCAAAGTCTGTATAAATTTGGATTTGGTCTGAAAAAGTATGGCTCTATTAACTTCACATCAGCCTGGACATCTATAAGAGATATAAAATCATGTTAAATAGGTTAACCAGTTAAACATATTATTTAACTGGTTAACTGATTAAAGGAAGGACAAGCAGGGGCTGCACCGGGTGGCCTGTGGGGCACTCAGGCCTGCCATGGACTGCCACAGGGCTGGAACAGCTGTTAAGGGTGAGGCTTACCGATCAACCAGTTAACCATTATTAACCAGTTAAACACTGACATCCCTAAATAACAAGCCAGCCCCAACTTACATCTGCACAATACTCAAGTTTGGGTCCAATTGAGGCCATATAGGCAGTTCTACTTAATAAAGGAGAGCTATTCCTTTCAATAGCTGTTCCTTACTTTTATCTTCTTCTAACTGTGAATCCAGATGATTTTCACTAACTTTTGCCATTAGTTGAGTGGGAATCAAAATAGGCTGCTAACTCTTTTACTAAGTGGGGAAGGGAGACTGTTGGGTAATTCTCTGTAGCCTTAGGTAGGAATTTTTGCAAATGTCACTTTTCAGTCTGTGCCTGGAGCTTTCTTCAGCAGAATCCCTGCTTCTGTAGTCACAAGCTGACCTTTTCCCAGAATAAAAGCCCAGCAACAAAACACTCGTGACTGAGGCATAGGATCAGATGATCAGTTCATTCAAGAAGATTAGAAGTGCAGTGAGAGGAAAAAACCCAACTGCTCATTTCCTGCCTCCACAGACAGCGAGAAAATGGCCTGCATACCTGTGAGGAGAGCATGGTAATGAAGACCTTTTTCTTTATCCTGATGAGAGCAAACGTCAAATAGATATGCTTTGATGGGACCATCAATAAAGTCAGCTGCAAAGTCAAAGAGCACTACTCCCAGCATAGTTATGACTATAGCCCAGGTCTGCTGCTTGCCTCGCTCAGGGATCAAAGCTGCAAAAAGAAAAAAACAAATTTACTCTTACAACTCCTGCTTTGCACTCGTTTATAGACTAAACGCAACTGAGCGCTGACCCTAACGGTGATATTTCACTTCTCCCTCAGTGTTTGCAAACAAAGTCTTCATATCATATGGACACACACATCCCACTTTACCCAGCTGAAGGGAAAGCTAACAGTGCAGCAGACATTCATTTAAAGAAATTTACTCTTCTCCTGAGTAACCTATTATACCAGCAAAGAGACCTTTCCACTTGGACTGCTTCAATAACACAGCCTGGGCTGCAACATAATAGCCTCTAGCATGTTATTCTTAGGGTGTTTTAGTCAAGATTTCCAATGCAAAATAATTCCCAGAGAGTTGTTCACTAGCACTACAGGTCCCTGAATTAAATGCATGAATAATTACATTATTTGCTGTGAACATGAACACAGGTTTAGTCATTTTGGAGCAGGAGGATGGGGAAGGGCAAAACTTACTCAATTTGCAGATGTCAGATTTGACCCATACCAATAAAATCTGCTATCAAATTGAACAAGTCATATGTTAGCTCTTTAAAGCTGTCAGGCCTGGACATTACTGAGATGCATTTTGAGGCAACCAACATAAAACAAACTGTACATGCATGCAGAGTGCAGAACACTCTGGCAAAAAACAGGCAGCTAAGATGAAACCTGGAAAGGTTCATATTGTTCCCTCAAGCTCTTCCAGTGAGACCTACTAATGTGATGCCCGTTCTCACCTTATTTACAGACCAAAACAAAAAACCCCACCAACCCTATTTTCTTTCTAATTCAAGAAACAGGATGAGCTTTGTCTATTAGCTCAGCACGTGCAGCTCACTCACCTGAGACCATCATGTCTCCATTGAGGTACAGGGCCATGCCCAGCAGCATCATGATGCCCAGAGCCAGGATGTAAGGGCGGCGCTTGCCCCAGCCCGAGGTACAGTGGTCACTGGCGGATCCCACCACTGGCTGCAGCACAAAGCCCAGGATGGGGCTGATGAGCCACACCAAGCTGTAGAGGCTCTTGGGCAGCCCCACACTGAGCAGTACCGGGGTGACAAAGGCAGCCTCCACTGCATAGCAGAATTCTCGACCAAGCATGGCCATACTGTGCATAATCAGCCTTCCAGTGGGCTTTTTTTCAGGCTCCACTGATCCAAAGGGGTCTCCTCCTGCAAAAGATTCCAACATTGCCTTTTCTTTCCCTCTGCTGTGGTCTGTGCCAGCAGTGCCCAGCTCAGAGGGTGGCAGAAGTCCCCCACTGAAATCCTGTTTCGTTAAAGTCATTGGATTAGCTATGCCTGAAGTTCCTGTAAGTGGCTCAGAGGAAGTTTGTTCTGACTCTGGATGAAAGGGAGCCTGGCTCACATGCACAGAGGGAAAGGTCTAGGGTGGAGGAGGGGCTCACTTACTTTCCTGCCTTTGAGATCACAAGTTAAGAAGAGGAGGGGAGAAGTGTATGTGCAGATTAACAGAACTGAGCTCCCGGCTATCTGGAGAGCTCCCAATTATCCATGAGTAAAGGATTATCTTTTAAGGGGGAAAAGATAACGGATGCCCGTGTCTCATGGATTAGGGCATAGGTTTGGCTTGAAAACAAAACTACTATTATTGCTATAAGGCAGTAACGATACTAAGCACGTCGGCCCACATTCTTCCATTCAGCAAACATCCTGAATACTGAGTTGTGTGCTCATTCTCCATGGTGGTGGGGAGCCAAAATTACATACTGAAAGAATATTCCACCATTCATATTTGCTTACATTTTGTATTAAAGTAAATTAAACCATTTAGCAAAATTGAGTACACACTAGGCTCTCTGATCATTTTATTGTAAAGGAACACCATCAATCTGGAAAAAATAAACACACTTCTGAGTATTTTCTACTTATTATTACAAGATCACTAGAAGCTACCAAGTAGAGGATAAATGAATCATAGACACATAGGACTGGAAGGAACCTCAAGAGAGCATCACGTCTAGTCCCCTGCATTAAGTACTACATGAATCTAGACTATTTGTGAAAGGTGTTTACTCAACCTGTTCTTAAAAACCTCCAGTGATGGAGAGTCCACGGTCTCCCCTGAAAGTCTATTCCACTGCTTCCCTACTCCTAGTTGGAAACTTGCTGCTAAGGACGTTTTTTCTTAACTTCTAACCTAAATCTCCTTTGCTGCAAATTTAGCCCATTACTCCTTGTCCTATCATCAATGAACATGAAGAACCATCCTCGGTGTGAAAGCCTTTATCATATTGAAGATTTATTAGGTCTCCCCACCCATAATCTTCTTTTATCAAGGCTAAACTTGCTCAGATTTTTAATCTTCTATCATAGATCCAATTTCTAAATCTTTGATCATTTATTGTAACTCTCCTGTGGACTCTCTTCAATTTGTCCAAATCTTTCCTAAGTGTGGTATCCAAAATTGGACACAATACATTGGTTTAGGTCTCACCAGTGTCCAATAGGGTGGGACAATTGCTTTCAGGGTCCTATATACAAGACTTCTTTTAATACGTCCAGAATCATACTAACTTTTTTTTGCAACTGCATTATATTGTTGATACATATTCAGTATGCTGCACTGTAACTCCCCAGGTCCTTTTCAGCACATTTCCACCTAGCCAGTTACCACCAATTTTGTAGCTATCCATTTATTTTACCTCTCTAAGTGCAGTATTTTTCATTTGGCTTTACTGAATTTTATCTTGTTGATTTCAGACCAATTCTCCAATTTGTCAAAGTTGTTTTGAATTCTAATCCTGTCCTCCAAAGTGCTTGCAAGTCCTCCAATCTTGGTGGCTTCCACAAATTTTATAATACTATGTTCCACTCCATTATCTAAGTCATAATGAAACTATTTATAAGTAACAGACCCCCCCCCCGTCCACTAGATTTCCCCTCTCACTTTAACAGCAGCCCATACTTTAATACAATCTTGCAATACACTGTATGTCATGTAATTAACTCTCCCATTTTTTCCCAATTAAAAACACAGAAACCCCCACCACTCAATTATAAACGAGGTCAGCAAAGATAACATACAAATTCAACTGTGGAACAGAAAGATCTGGAGCATTTTTATCAGTACAGCTCTTTTTATAACTAGTTGCATCCATTTCATGTAAATGAATCCAGGTATACATTTTTGTTGGTTCCGAGAAATCAAAGGCAAAGTCACTTTGGAATCTCTCAATTTATTGAAAGCGAATCTAAAGAAAAACTTTATTACTCACATAGTTGTAGCCATTTTCAAATTTTTACAGAATAAAGAAGGGTTGCTTATTGGCAGACACTAATATATCAAATTTTAACCCAGAGCAGTTTTTCCAGCCAAATTAAGACTCCAAATGTAATAGTCATGGGACTAACTATGCAATGGAAATATAGCCAGGCTGAAGTATAGCTGCTCTGCCATATACTACTATAAGCAGATCATGCCAAAATAATGGTATTTTAATATATATTCTGGGATGATAATGCAAATGAATTTTATACCAATAATGAGAAAATACCAGCTAAGAGATTTCTTTCAAATTTATAAATGAACAACACATCAACCCATTTATAAAATATTACAAGATTTTATAAAAATCATTGCCTTCGGTTAATAGCAGCATATATTAAAAATGCAAGGATTAAAACAATCACGCATTTCCTTTCATATACTTTCTGAAGGAAACATAAAAAAAGATGTAAACTCTTATAACAAGCAAACATTGTTGCTCTTTTCATAACAAATGCCCCCAGGAAAAATTTCAGTGGTTTCATTCTTAAGGCATTCTAATCCAGAAGTACAGTTTGTATATGTAATCCTCAATTAATACATTAATTTAACAGTAACACCCCTGACCCCAAAAACGTGATGCTACATTCACATTTCTTCGTGTAATTCCTTTAATGCATAAAATCTTATTATGATAGTTTGAAACCTTTCTAATTTGCATGTCTAGATATTATAAATTAGCTTTTGGTTTATTGAATTCAATTACTTTTTCCGAGTGAAGTTTAGCAATCTCTTCCCTGGTAAACCCAAATTCTAGAAGTATCTCTTCTGTGTGTTCTCCTATAAAAGGATCCCTTTTGGGAGATGGAGTAGCTGGAGTCCTTGAAAGAAGAGGAGATGGCCTAGGACTTATCTCTTCCTGATCATTTTTGATAAAAGATCCACGCTCTTTGTTATGCTGGTGTAAGGCAACATCATCCAAAGATAAAACAGGTGTTACGCAGGCATCAGTGCCATTGAAGATCCTGCACCATTCTGCCTGTGTCTTCTTGGAAAATATAGCTTCAAACTTTTTCTTCATTTCAGGCCAGTCAGAGAAACTCAACTGACTGGGAAGCTTATCTGAATCCAGCCCCAATCCTAAAAAGATAAAAACAAAGTGATAGATGTATTATACTTTAGGTACAGTAATAAAAATAGAGTAAATGCTGTTTCTGCAACACACAGTTCATCCAGATTTACTGCATGAAGCCTCATATAGCATAAGGGTCATAGCCAGTGTTCCCTCTAAGGCTACGTCTGCACCTCAAGCACATTTTTGCGCAAGAAAATCGGCAGAACAGAGGGCTTTTGCCGGTAGAGTTATTCCTCTCCCCATGAGGAATAACTCCTTTATGCACTATAGCTCTTGCGCAAAAAGGCACCTGTGGATGCTCCAGAGGGCTTTTTGCACAAGAAACCCCTATTGAAAAAAGCACAGGTGCTCTGATGGCCATCAGAGCTCTCTTGCACAAAAACACATTGCTTTTGTGATGTGCTTTTAGGCGTGGACGCACTTTGCAATAAGTTTTTGTGGAAGATCTCTTCTTCTTGTGCAAAAACCCTGCAGTGTAGATTAAGCCTAAGATTTTCTATCCATGAGTAGAGTGAGTTTTGTTTTGTGCACCAATATTGAGGTCATGTGCACTTGTTTGGATGTGTGTCACTGTGGCACCCAAGTTAACAAACAAATATAGATATAGATATTTTAAAATGTTATGGAAAACAGAATACTAAAACGAGGGATCATTAACAAGAAGCATGATTTTTAAGCATTTACTTAATATGAAGTGTCATGATCATGAAGGTTAGCCAGCAGCCTGGAGACTAAGAGGTTAACTACACCTAGCCAGGTGGAGTGGCCAATAGAAATGTAGGTAGGAATTTCAAACTGGGACAAAGGAATTTTGTTTTTTTCCCTCCTTTGTTCTGAGAGTTCCCTCCAGCTTCTGAGGGAGACAGACATGTCTCTCTCTCTCTCTCCAAGGAACAGTTCTTCACTTTCTGTAAGTAGGGTAAAGTTTAGATAAATCCATTAGGTTTTATTGTTTTATGGGATCTGCTGTCTGTGCACTTTTTAAAAGATGTTTGGCTTTCCTTTGTAACTAAGTTCTAGGCCTATGGAGTTTCTCCATGAGTATATTATCTGTTACTTTTCCATCTAGTTATTATGCTTGCAACAGGAATATTGTGGTGATAATAAAAGTTCTCTCTCTTCTTTTATTAACCTGGTATTGGTTAATGGTTGTGTCCTGCTTTGTACGTTAGGGCTGAGATTTCCCAAGTGACCTCTCCCCTGATTTTTCGCATCAATACTTGGGTGGTGGCAGCGGAAGTTTTATTCCCAAAATCTAGGGTTTTAATATTTTGGGGGGGAAGTTTTATACCAAAGCCTGGTAGATAAGGTTTTGGGGTACTTGCTGGCTCCCACTTCTGCATTTATCGTGCCAGAGTAGAGAAGGAGCCATGACATGAAGTCAAATAAAAAGAAAATTAATACTGAAAAATTTTAGGTAAGCAGCTTCCTCTGTTTAAAGCCCCTCTCCCAGACTTTTGCCCAGCTGGAATAGATGATCTCTTAGGCTCCCTTCCAGTCCCATGATTACTGTCGGAATTCATTTCATTCATACACAGTACCATTTGATGGAAAGGAATGTAACATACAAAACCTGATGTAAGAGCTTGGGGTATTTCCACACAACCATGGTGACCATGGAGTGTGTGAGAAAGAAGGTCAAAGAGGGCAAAATAAATATTTTAAATCTAACTATAGACTATGTATGGAGGAAAGGAATATCGAGGGTAAAATCAATAACTGATCAAATAAATCCCACCCTTCTTTCTTTAGTGAAAGAAGTACAGTAAACTTCCGATAAGCTGGCACCTTTGAGGCCCAGAGGGTGCCGGAGTATCAGGAGGTACTCCGGAAGGGGGGCTGAGAGGGGCCGGGGGGGAATGGCGCAGCATGGGGCAAACCCTCCGCCTTTTGCAGGGAGGCCGCTGCTGAAACTGATGAGCGGCGGACTTGGGGAAGCCGGGGGCAGAGCAGCTGGGGTGCTGCCGCTGCTGAAACTGACGAGCAGTGGACTTGGGGAAGCCGGAGGCAGAGCAGCTGGGGTGCTGCCTGGTTCATCCCGCAGCCCTGCCCCTCACCCCCCTGCTCAGTGCCCGGCAGCACCCCAGCTGCTCTGCTCCGCAGATTCCCCAAGTCTGCTACTCGTCAGTTTCAGCAGCAGCAGCTGCTCTGCTCTGCACCTCTTCCCCAAGTCCGCCACTGGTCAGTTTCAGCAGAGACTGCAGCAGACTTGGTGAAGCAGCGCTGAGCAGCTTGAATTGTCCGGCTGGCCGGAGCACTTCCCGGTTCCAGTTGGTGCCAGACTATCGGGAGTGCCGGACCACTGGATGCCAGACAACTGGAGTTTTACTGTAATATGTTTCACTCTTAATGTTTGTAGCTGCGAATCTAATTTAAAACAAATAAGAAAACTGAGTGCCCTAAAAATTAAACTTCTGTAGCAGATTAAAAAGAGGAATTACTGGGGGGTCATGTGTGTTAGTTATTCTTCTTAGCTTGCTCTTACTTGATGTTTCCTACACTATCACACGTCAGATCATAGAGTCCATCCTCATACTCAGTCCAAAGGGAGGCCCTTGTTAATTTGCTGTGTCCTGCACCACAAGCAGCTCTGGCCGATGAATCAGTTCTTGTGCCAAGGCATCAATCTGACTTTACTCAGCATCAGATGTGCTCACTAGCAAGGAACCTACATGAAGAAATGAGTCTTGACTCAAGGTGAGTTATTTTAACTCTCTTGACAACCTGGATGCTAACGAGTGAGGCAAAGCAGGGAAGGAAAACATACATGGGATGACGATCTGCAGTGCATTGATCATAAAAGGAAGTATGTACAGTGTCAGTGAGGGTTAGAGAAACAACAAGTGGGAATCATGATCTCTGACTTACATCTCTGAGAGAGATTTTGTTCTTTTGGTTGGAGCAGAGGACTTTGAGTCAAGGAGCATAATCTAGCAATTAGAGCAAGAATGGAGCATCAGAATTCCTGGATTCTATTCTCAACACTGCTACTGGATTCCCTAGGTGATTTAAGCTTTGCGCCTTGTTTTATCACCTCTAAATTGGTCATAATTACATTTGTCTGGCAAAACTGCTGAGAGGTTTAATTAGATAAAGTCTCTAAAGCACTTTCATACCCTTGACCAAAAATTCCTAGATGCCCGCTAAGGTTGTTGGGTCTATCAAAGGAAGATTTAAAAGATAATGCATCACTGAAAGGAATCATCTACAACTACTGCAATAGTAATCCAGTTATCCACAGTGAACTTTCAAGACAGGATACCCTGATGCACTTTAAGGGGAATATAACAATATTTACATTTTCAAAGATCCCATAATGAACACTGTCAGGAAGAATGGTTGCTTTTCTGGCGTTACAGTACGAATACTTTGTTATTCAGTCCTGGCTGCCAGAGCAGTCACCCTCTGGGCAGCCTTGGCCTCAGCTTCGGCCGTCAGAGCAGCAGTCCCCTGGGTGACCTCGGCCTCCAGTGCAGCCCCACCACCACCACCACACAGCCGCTGAAGCAGGCCCCAGACACTCTCCCCTCAGCCCATGGCAGGCCCCAGTCATTGGAGCAGGCTCTGCCACGTGGCCCCCAGAGCAGGCTGCTGCCACTGCCCCCCACCACACAGCAGGCCCTGGTTTCCGGAGCAGGCCCCAACCTCCTGCATCTCAGTCTCAGCTGGCCCCCCCATGCCATCTTAGCCAGCCCCGCCTGTCAGAGCAGCCACCTGCTGTGCCACTCACCTTCCAGCAGGAAGGTAAGTGCTGCTGTTCGACTCAGCAAAGGAGGTGGGCAGGTGGAGAATTTTTTGTGCACGGCCATGCAGGTGCACACCTTACAAGGACCTATGGTAATTGAAGACTAGTGTGCTATGACAAATGGTTTCAAAATTTATTGCAGGGCACATAATTTGAAAAAGGAAAGGAAAAACCAATGTCCCTTGTTCTTGCCATTATATTAAAGTATATGAGGTATATGTTCATAAAGACAATATGCAATGGGTACAGACAGCATACAATGGGGACAGTATACTTAAGACTTGAAAAATATGAAACAAAGGAAAATTAATGTAGAAAAGACAAGGATGGAGATCCTATTGCCTAACAGACCTTCTCAATCTTTAGCTTCTATGATTCTATCATTTATACTATGACCTCAATAGAAAAAGCAATAGAAACATGTTTTAAATGAAACCTTATTGTAAAATGCAACAAAAATATGGAAATCCACTTCTGATTTATTTTTGATGCTGCATCACTTTCTCTCATTTCTTTATCTCAATTTTGCCTACTGAGGGCTTGTCTACACTTGAAACACTACAGAGGCACAGCTGCAGCATTCCAGCAGATGGAAGAATTCTTATATCAACCTTGTGCTGTCTACAGGGGATGAGGGTGTTAGTAATCCTAACTGAGCTGCTCAGGGATATGGATCCTTCACATCGGTGAATGGCTTCCTCAATCTAACTTTACAGTGTAGACCTGGCCTTTGACTGCATAGACTCCATGTCCTCTTGCATGTCTGAAAAGCACCAGATACCATACAAATGTAGTTGCACCATACAAACAACAAATTAAACAAATCACAATTTTTTGCTCATAATATTATAACTATGAATAGCTCCAAAGGCAGCTTTGGGACAAGCACACCAGACAGAACAAGGCGACTGTCACAACAGCAGAAGGGTACTACAAAACTTTGCTAGAAGTCTTTGCCTACTAAAGCATGCTCAGAAGATATGTCTCAAAGAAGTGGCAACAAAAAGAAAAGGACTCTTTCCACAACCAATTCTTCATTTTTAAAAAAGTCTCTCAAAAACTACTAATTTTTTCATAGAAATGAATTCAAAGAAATACTGTTTCAAGAGAAGCAACCCACCACAAAGGCTTTTGTCAATTTCACATGTGCCTGGGATCTTTGACTCTCCAACCCCAGAACAAGGAGTCAGGAAGAGTACCTGAGCCCTCTAGAAAAACTCATGTCAATTTAACAGGCAAAAAGTGAAATTGACAAGAGCC